CATCCATTAAAATAATCATATGGTTTCACTATACAGTTGACCCTTGAACAACTTGGGGGGTTAGGGGTGCTGACCCCATGCATTCAAAAATCCATGGATAACTTTATATTCAGCCCTCCATATGTAAGGGCCCACTGATTTAACCAACTGCAGAGTAGTACTGTAGTACATATTTATTGAAAAAAATCTGTGTATAAGTGGACCCTCACAGTTCAACCTCATGTTATTCAAGGGTCAATCCTGCTTTTAATTTGCATTTCTCTTATTATGAGTGAGGCTGAGCATCTTTTTCTGGGTTTAACAGCCATTTGTGTTTCATTTTCTGTGATTTCTGGATTCACATCCTGCTAAGTCATTGGCATTTTCTTATTGTCTTCTAGGAGTTGCTTATATTATGAAGATATTTTATCCATGACATGAGCTTACCTTTGTTTCCAGTTCCATTTGTTTATCCTTTGTATTTATGGCTTTTTGCCTCAATAAAATTTGGGGTATTTGCATCACTGAAGTTTCCAATTTATTCTTTTTTTTTTTTTAATTAATTTATTTATTTTTGGCTGTGTTGGGTCTTCATTTCTGTGCGAGGGCTTTCTCTAGTTGCGGCAAGTGGGGGCCACTCCTCATCGCGGTGCACGGGCCTCTTACTATCGTGGCCTCTCTTGTTGCGGAGCACAGGCTCCAGACGCGCAGGCTCAGTGGTTGTGGCTCATGGGCCTAGTTGCTCCGCGGCATGTGGGATCTTCCCAGACCAGGGTTCGAACCCGTGTCCTCTGCATTGGCAGGCAGATTCTCAACCACTGCGCCACCAGGGAAGCCCTCCAGTTTATTCTTGGGCAAATTCTGGGCTCTGCTTCCTGGAATCTCCTCATGGAGACGTCACATGCTCCTATCTGGGACTGGTGGTGCCACCTTTGTCCTGACTCTGTTCCCCTTCTGCTCATTCTCAACATACCACAGTGACCACAGAGTTGTCAGGGGCCTAGAGACTCACTGTCCTTCCTGGAGGGCAGGAACCTCCCTCTCAGGGCCAGGGATGGGAGTACACTTTTGCATTCTTCTCTGCTGAAGCCACCCAGGAAATGAAAGAAAAATACTAAGCTAAGTATTTAGCTCCCATGCAGCACTTCCTGCCACAAGCTTGCTCTGGCTCCCACTGTGCTGAGGACACACCTCATACCTCTTCCCTCCACCCACAAGGCCCCACTGATGCCTCCAAACGTCTCAGCACACCTTTTCCCTGCCACCCTGTCCTTCTCAGGAACACTGTGACCTTGCCCAGCTTCTCAGCCTTTGCCTGGGCTGTTCCTCTGCCAGAACTCCCCACGCCTCCAGATCACTCTCTGGTTAATTCTACTTGTCCTTGGATTTCAGTATCAAAGTCACTTCCTCCACGCATCCCTCCCAGACTCAGCGTTTCTCCTAGCAGCCTGGCACCGAGGGCCACTGAAACACTGATTCGATAGTAGTTTATTTATTGTCATCTCCCCCACTAGACTGTTGGCTCCACCAGGCAGAGACTGGGTCTGCTCTGTCCCCTGCTGTGTCCCCAATGCCCTGCACACAGGAAGTGCCCAAGAAGTGTCTGTGGGTGACTGAATTAAAGTCAACAAAATCGTACCAGAGCCATTTTTGTGCCAGGGCTTGTGACGGGATTACAGAGATGAAAGTGTCCTCTTAAATCTATCCCCCAAACTCTACTTTCTGGGGTTTGTATCCTACTAAGGACACTGGCCCCGGTCTGACCTGGACACTGCCCCACTCCTCCACTCATGACAGCCTCAGGGGTGTTAAAAAGCCTCCATCAGACCCCGCTGTGATCTGGCCCCAGCTGACTGCCCTGCCATCCCCCTCCCTCCTCACTGCACCCAGACACGCCCTTGGGGCCATAAACAGCTTGACTCACTCCCACCTCTGGGCCTTTGTGCTTGTAGTGTTCTCTGCCAGGAGCCCTCTTCAACCCGCTTCAGATTCCTGCTTGATCCATCCTGGCCTCCACACAGAGCCTCCGACCCCTGCACTGGAGCCTCAGCCTGTGCCTGTCCTGTCACCTTGGTTTTCTTTGTTATCCATAATGGTTAATTGCCTCCCTGCCAGACCAGATAGTGAAGTGAGCCTGAGGGCAGGTCCGGGTCTGTCTGGTTTTCACAGTTTCTAGGGCTGGGCTTAGGGCACAGAGCACAATAGTGGGCTATTATCCCTCCCAGGGTCTCATGGGAGAAATACCTTGAAGGAGAACTTGACTTTTGTCTGGGGCAACTTCCCTGCCTCCTTCCTGGGCAGATCCAGCCCAGTTCCCTTCCTTAGGTGCGCAATTAGTTAATCTAGGTGCCCAACCCACACATGCCACAGATGGGTAAACTGAGGCTGGAGAAGCCAGGGTGTTGCCAGGGCCCCACAGAGAGTGAGTCCTGGAGCCTGCTGAGGTCCCCCTGTGTGACCTGGGCCCTTCTCTGTGCTGTCACCCCTTCCCTTAGGTCTGGGGTCTCCAGCAGCCTGTCTGAGCAGGACTGCTGCTGCAGAGGCTTCCGGAACTTTCTGCCCCTCCCCACACCCCCACCCCCACCCCGTCGCCCACATGGCCATGACTTTCGGTAAGTGACAGCAGCTCAGGAAGCTGAGGGGCCCACACAGGAAGGAGCGAGTGGGACTTTCCTCCCGCTGTTGCTCGCCTCTACCCTCCCGTAGCTGGCCCAGAGGTCCTCACCTCCAGGTAAGAGCTGGTGGTGCCACAGGGCTCTGGTCGGGGATGGGCGTGGGAGGAGACTGTGTGGATGGTCGCAGCTGGGGACAAAGGCAAGTTTGCCTTTCAGGCCTCTGAGGAAAGCTGCCAGATGTGAGCTGGGACAGCTGGGTGTGTGGCCTCTGGCAAAGCGCTCCCCTCTCTGGGCCTCAGTTTCCTTCTGCATAGGAGGCCTCGAATTCCCAGCTTCCTGGACCTGAAAGAATCATTACGCATGCGCCCAGGGCTCCCGGTCCCTGAGGGAGCAGTTCGAAGCCCCTAAAATCCCAGGTCCCAGGCCAGAACACTGGGGGACCAGCCAACCTTCCCGGCATGCGGGACGTTTGGTGTTAAAACAGGGGCATTTTTCTGGGCTCCAGACAGACTTTCTTTTTTTACTTTCGGTATTTTAAAAATCATGTTTCTTTTTTTTTTTTTTATAAATTTATTTATTTATTTACTTTTGGTTGTGTTGGGTCTTCATTGCTGTGAGCAGGCTTTTCTCTGGTTGCAGCGAGTGGGGGCCACTCTTCGTTGCGGTGCGTGGGTTTCTCCTTGCGGTGGCTTCTCTCGCTGTGGGGCACGTGCTCTAGGCACGTGGGCTTCAGTAGTTGTGGCATGTGGACTCAGCAGTTGTGGCTCACGGGCTCAGCAGTTGCGTCTCGCGGGCCCAGTTGCTCCGCGACATGTGGGATCCTCCTGCACCAGGGCTTGAACCCGTGTCCCCTGCATTGGCAGGTGGATTCCTAACCACTGCGCCACCAGGGAAGCCCTAAAAATCATGTTTCTTTAAGATTTATTTTAAACACAAGACACACTTTGTGATTCCATTTACATAAAGGTGCAAATTTGGGCAAGATCAGGACGACTGTTAGAAATAAGACTGTGGGCACCTCTGTGGGGAGTGACAAGATGGGGTGGTGACGGGGAGGGTCAGAGCTCACGGGATGGGAACGTTCCAATTCCTGGTCTGGGAGCTGGTGACAACGGACTGTCCCTTGGGGAAATTCCTCTCTCCCCCACGCCCTGCCTCCCTGATGGTAACCCCTAAACCACTGTGCTAAGAGATCTTCCTGTCTGGTTCATCTGGCATTTGTCAAGGGCTTGCTGGGCATGTCACCAAGGATTTGTGCCACTTAGCGTGGATTAAACGTGTTGACAGCTCAGGCTGGGCTCAGCAAGCCACCTCACTGAAGCAGGTGGGAATCAGCACATTTCACAGCCGAGAAAGCTGCGTCCCAGCAGTGGAAGCCCTGCTGGGGTCATGAAACCAGAATACGGTGGGGCTGGGATTTGAACCCAGAGCCTGGGGTTTTTACCTATCCCCAGTCCCAGGCTTATATTCTGGGTGTGTTAAAATCTCATTAATGCTATCAGCCCCCCTCCCGCTATTATTTTGGAACATAGTTTTTATCCAACATTCTCTTTTGGTATCTTCTTCATTTGGGTCAATTTACGTGGATTTTCTCTGTCTCCCCACTTTTCCTCATTGGGTTTGAAACCCAACTCCTCCCTCTACCCAGCCAGGGGTCCTGAGCTCTGGGTCCCCCAGGGCGACAGAGATCTGGAAGTTGGCTGGTATAGAACGCCTGGGAATAAGGTGGGAGGTTTCCTCCTGGGCCTATCCCAGGGAAGGCTTCCTACTATGGGGACCTAATGGTGGGAGTGATGGAAGGAACTGAGATGCAGGGAGCAGGGGAGACAGACACAGAGAACTCTGTTGACTGAGTCATCAGTCTGGATCTGCCCCCAAGGCATGCATCACACCAGCTGCAAAAGCTTCTAGCCCCAGCCTCAGAAGTGCTTGAATCCTCCAGCTTCACAGGGAGGGAGGGCCACTTCTATCCCCACCCATGTGCACAGGCCAGTGTCTACCTGCTTTCTGGTTAGCAAATCCCTATATCTGTGATTGATTGGTCATGCCTGTCTGGAGAAAGCTTGGAGAAGTGGTATGTGTGGAGGCTGGAGATCGACTAGAGATGTCTGTCCTGGGCACCCAGAGTCTGGAGTGTGAGTTCACACAAAGTTGTGTGAACGTCTTGCAGCCTCCCAGCACAGCCCTCACCTGGGGGGTTATGGCTCCTCACCCACCTTGCACACTCAGCTCTCCCTCTCTGTCTCTCTACATCTCTGAGTTTCTCTCTGTCCCTGTCTCCTCCCTCTTTCTCCGGCTTCATCCCTACCTCACCCATCAGCATCTCTGCCCCCAACCCCACCCCAGAAGCTTTGTAGCCTTGTACCCTGATCACAACTGAGGGGCTGCCTCTTTCTGTGTCCAGGCAGGCTGCACTCATGGCACCTCCAAGTGAGGAGACGCCCCTGATCCCTCAGCGCTCCTGCAGCCTCTCCTCTTCAGAGGCTGGTGCCCTGCACGTGCTGCTGCCCCCTCGGGGCCCTGGACCCCCGCAGTGCCTATCCTTCTCCTTTGGGGACCACTCAGCTGAAGAACTATGTGTTTGGGCTGCTAAGGCCAGTGGTGAGTGGGTCCCTAGAAGGCTTGGCCAGAGGGAGGGGTAGGACTGTGCGGAACACAGATTGGGAGCTGGAAGAACTGCCAAGTGGAGTCAGCATTGGAGCTGGGGTTAGAGGGATGAGTAGGGGTGTGGTAAGGGAGGAGGGTGCACAGGAAATGGCATGTGCAAAGACTCAGAGGCGTGATGGTATACTAGGGGAAACAGCTAGTCATCCCTCGAGGTAAACTGTACATGGAAAGAGATGCTCTGGGTAGAGGGGCAGGGAGCCCTGAGAAGCAGACTGAGCACATGGCTTCTCTCCTAAGGGCAATGGGGAGTCCTAGAATGGGTGCGAGCAGGGGTGGGACATGGTGTCAGAGCTGAAGGTGAGAAAAAGCCTGTGGGGCTGCATGGGGATAACATGGCAGCCCTGCAGGGGACAGATGGGGAGAGCTGGGAGTAACTGATGCGGGCGTCCCCTCAGGCATCCTGCCCGTGTACCACTCCCTCTTTGCTCTGGCCTTGGAGGACCTGTCCTGTTGGTTCCCCCCGAGCCACATCTTCTCCGTGGAGGACGTGGGCACCCAGGTCCTTGTCTACAGGCTCCGGTAGGAAGTATCCCCTGTCCCCCCACCCCCCGCCACAGATATGGGTTAAATGATACCGAGAGGGCATGCCTTTGGCTGAGGGCTTTGGAAATGGGAGTTTAAGACAACAGTGACCCCTCAATCATCATCTCCACGTACCTCCTGGTGGATGCCCCAGGGAGGGCGTGATCACTGCTCATTTCACAGGTGAGGAAACTAATGCCAGAGAGGGTGGGTCACTTGTCCAAGGTCACACAGCAAGTCAGTGGCATAACCTGGGCTCTTTGAGGTCCTGGCACAGTCCCTCCATCGTATCCCCACTCCAGGGTTCTCCCCTCTCGCACAGCTTTTACTTCCCCAACTGGTTTGGGCTAGAGAAGTGCCACCGCTTTGGGCTACGAAAGGACTTAGCCAGTGCCATCCTTGATCTGCCAGTCCTGGAGCACCTCTTTGCCCAGGTAGGGGTCTGCCTGGGGCTCAGCCCAGGGGTGGGGTCCCTGGGGCAATATCAGGACTCGTGGTTGGGCAGCCTCGGCTGACCCTCCCTGTGGCAGTCCAGGGGTGGAGGTCAGCCCAGGTGGGGGGGTCTACAGAGCAACATCAGGGCTCATGGTTGGGCTGTGACTGGCCTGCAGCACCGCAATGACCTGGTCAGCGGCCGCCTCCCGATGGGCCTCAGCCTCAAGGAGCAGGGTGAGTGTCTCAGCTTGGCTGTACTGGACCTGGCCCAGATGGCCCTCGAGCAGGGTCAGCGGCCCGAGGAGCTGCTGAAGACCATCAGGTGAGGGCTTCCAGGCTGTGGCGCCCAGCCTCTACCTGGGAGTGAGCCAGCATGGCTCCACCAGAGCACTGCCAGAGTCCAGGCCTGGACATTGGGGCTGCCCACCTACATGCCACCAGTGTGTTCATGTGACCCAGCCCACACCCTTCCTTTCAACACAGACCCACTTAGACTCCATTGTCGGGCTTCAGGCAGCTAAAAGGACTATGTGTGTCCCTGTCTGTCTTATGGGCCCCAATGGCCCTTCCTATAGAGGCCCTACGCCCATGCCTGTCCCTGAGTGTGTCTCTGTGACCCCCTAGTGAGGCGACACTCCAGCCCCTCAACTGAAGTCTGGGTTGATGTATGTCCCTGCCCTCCCTGCGGAGGCCCCTCTCCACATTGAGAGCCCCACTCCCCCCGCTCGCAGCTACAAGGTCTGCCTGCCCCCCGGCCTGCGCGACCTGATCCAGGGCCTGAGCTTCGTGACGCGGAGGCGTATCCGAAGGACAGTGCGCCGGGCCTTGCGCCGCTTGGCCGCCTGCCAGGCTGATAAGCACTCGCTCATGGCCAAGTACATCATGGACCTCGAGCGGCTGGACCCAGACAGGGCCACCGAGACCTTCCGCGTGGGCCTCCCCGGAGCTGCTGGTGGTCAGGATGCGCCGGGGCTGCTCCACGTGGCTGGCGGCAGTGGCATCGCCTGGAGCCCGGGAGAACACGAGGTGCGAGGTCGGGTGGGTTGGGGCTCTGGGCAGGGCCAACGGCGGGGGCGGGGCAAGGAAGTGGGCGTGGCTGTGAGGGGCGGGGCCGAAGGGAGGAGGGACTGTGAGAGGGCTTGTGGGGGAGGGCACCCGGCTGACTGAGGTGTAGGGCTGAGCGAGGAGTCGGGAATGAAATGGGCGGGGCGTAGAAGGAGGGGCTAGTTGGGTGGGCGGGGTTCAGAGTGGGGCTAACCGCAAGTTGAGGGAAGATGCAGGACTGAGGGTGGGTGGGGCTCCCGACTGTACTAAGAGACACCGCGAGATAAAGCGGAGCTAAGTGAGGGAGGGGCTCGGGGTGAGGTGGGCTGGGGGACCTGCCGAGAGAAGGAGGCGGGTCTCCCTGGTGGGGTGGGAGAGGGATGTGACTGGGTGAGGCTGAGAGGGGCGGGTCTCATGAGTATGGGTTGTATGGGTTGGTGGGGTCCAGGCTTCCAAAAGGGACTGGGGGGCTCGGAGTGGGAGGGATCCCCAGCTTCAGTCCTCCCCCTTCTTCCCAGGTCCTCCAGCCCTTCTGCGACTTTCCAGAAATCGTGGATATCAGCATCAAGCAGGCCCCACGCATTGGCCCCGCCGGGGAGCACCGCCTCGTCACCATCACCAGGACAGACAACCAGATCCTGGTGCGTGCTGGATCCCGTTCCCCTCCTGCCTCGCCCGAGGGCAGGGATGCGGGACTGTCACCCTCGGGCCGCAGCGAGCGCTGACGCGGATCCTCGCAGGAGGCCGAGTTCCCGGGGCTGCCCGCAGCGTTGTCCTTCGTGGCGCTCGTGGATGGCTACTTCCGGCTGACCACTGACTCCGGCCACTACTTCTGCAAGGAGGTGGCGCCGCCGCGGCTGCTGGAGCAGGTGGCCGAGCAGTGCCATGGCCCCATCACGTAAGGACCCGCCCCCACGTGGCCAGACTCACCGGGACCGAACCTCGGTCACTCCCCTTCTTGGGGCCTCTGTGTCCTCGCCTTTCAGGAGCCCTGGACAAGCGATCAAGTGCTTGAACAGCGCCAGGGGCATAGTTGGCGCTCAACGAGTCTGGGGTCTCCTTTCTGCCGCTTCCCTCCTCGAGGCCCCAGAGCCATTTTCTGGGGATGCTCGCAGTGCCTGGCTTCACCTGCAGCCTCCTCTTTAATCCCTGAGGCAGAAGCCCAACTTCTGGCTCAATTTATAAATGGGAGGGAGTGAGGGAATGTTACCTGGTGACCTTCCCAGGGCTTCAGAGAAACCAGAATTAGAACTCAGGATTAGTTTGGTTTCTGTGCCTCTATCTCCCTGTTTCTCTCCAACTTCGAATCTCAGTTCCCTCCCACCTTTCCCCACAGCTTGGATTTTGCCATCAACAAACTCAAGACTGGGGGTTCACTTCCCGGCTCCTACGTTCTCCGCCGCAGTCCCCAGGATTTCGACAGCTACCTCCTAACTGTCTGTGTCCCGGTCAGTCTACCATAGGGGCCAGGAGGGCAAGGAGGGCTTCCTGGAGGAGATGATATTTGAGCTGAGAACTGAAAGATGAGTCAGCATTACTTCCTGAAGAAGGGGAGGGAAAAGGCATTCCCAGTGGAGGGAACAGCATAGGCAAAGGCTTGGAGATTTGAGGGGGAGGGTGCCGCCCACTCCCACTCAGGGACCACTCCTCTTTGCAGACCCCCCTGGGCCCTGATTACAAGGGCTGCCTCATCCGGTGCGACCCCACAGGAACCTTCTCCCTGGCTGGCCTTGGCCAGCCCCACAGCAGTCTTCGAGAGCTCCTGGCAGCCTATTGGGGTGGTGGGTTGCACGTGGATGGGGTTGAGCTGAACCTCACCTTCTGCTGCACCCCCAGACCCAAAGGTGAGCCTGCTTTCTCCCCTGAGCTGAGTGATGAATCTGGGTCCCTGCATTTCTGTGTCTGTTCCAGTTCTTGTATGGCAAGTGGCAGAGACTGCAGGTCAAGGTAGTTTAGGAGGGAAAAAAAGGTGATTCGGGACTCATGGGACTGCTTTCAGGCATGGTTAGATCCGGGCACAGCTGGATCCGAGGGATGTCACTAGCACTTAGCCTCTGTCCATCTCTTGCCTCTTCCTCTGGGTGAATTTTGCTCTCAGACAAACCCCTTCGATGGGACAGCTTTGAGGTGTGAGTTCTCCAGAGTCTCCCAGAATCCCTAGCAGGACTGAGACAAGGCTGCCCACAGCATCACCTGCTCATTTGCACCCCCTGCAGGGTTCCTTCCCTCTCTGTCTCACTCTCCCACCCCTCACTGGGACTTCCTGGAGTCTCCTTTCAAATAAATTATGTGCCCTGGAGTCCTCCTCTTAGTATTGGCTTCTGAAGAAGACCCCACACTGAGACAGGGAGTGAGCAAACCTTTGAGGACCTTTCACCTCTGACCTCTGGTTTTCTTCCTCCATCCACTCCCCATAGAAAAGTCCAATCTGATTGTGGTCCGGAGAGATTGCAACCCACCCACATCATCCCCTGTTCAGCCCCAATCCCAATGCCAGCTGAGTCAGATGACATTTCACAAGATCCCTGCCGACAGCCTGGAGTGGGTAAGGGGCCCCAGGAAATGTGCGGGGGATACCTCAGTTGAGATCCAGAGAGACCAGGTCTATATCCATCTCTTCTGTGTGGCCTCAGGCATGTGATGTAACCTCCCTGTGCCTCTGTTTCATCACCTGTAAAATGAGTCCATTACCTGTGCCTTGCTTGGACCAGGGCTAGGGGACTGGATCCATGGGAGCCCCCTTACTGGCCTCTCATGTTGCCCCCTCACTCTCCAGCATGAGAACCTCGGTCACGGGTCCTTTACCAAGATTTACCGGGGCTGTCGCCATGAGGTCGTGGATGGGGAGGCCCGAGAGACAGAGGTGCTGCTCAAAGTGATGGATGCCAAGCACAAGAACTGCATGGAGGTGAGCAGGGTGGGACCAGGCCTCCTGGGTTAGGGCCTGGGTGGAGAGAGAGTCATGGATTCAGAGAAATTTGAAACACACAGGGCCTTAAAACAACAGAAATGTAGCCACAGCATCTCCATGAAATATAGAAGGGTCAGGGAAATTAGATGCAAACAGAAAGAGTACACCAGACAGAGGGAACAGCCAGTGCAAAGGTCCTGAGGCAGGGCCAAGCCTGGCATGTTTAAGGAACAGCAAGGAGGCCAGTGGGTCAGAGAGAAACGAGCAAAGTAGAAGAGAGGAATGATGCGGATGGAGGCATCAGCAGGGGCTGGGCAACACAGAGGAAGGTTTGAGCCCTTCTCAAACCCCAGATCTCCCACTTGTGTGAGAGATTCAAGGTAGAATACAGTGGGGACTTCCTGCCTCCATCAGAAAATCATGATACAGAGTGCTGTGTGTACTAATGGTGGACTCCAGGGCCAAAGGAGTCTGGCGGCCAGGTCTCCTAAGCAGGTGTGAGAGCAGCAAGTTTGGGGTCCTTGGTCTGACCCTGAAGTGGAAGAAACCCATGCATCTTCTCTCCCTTCTTTCCTCCCCAGTCATTCCTGGAAGCAGCGACCTTGATGAGCCAAGTGTCGTACCAGCATCTCGTGTTGCTCCATGGCGTGTGCATGGCTGGAGACAGTGAGAGACATTCCCCGCCCCACCCCTACCCTGCCTCATTGAGCCCATCTACAGCAGCAATAGCCGTACACAGTCAGAGCCTGCCCTGGCTGAGGCTCTGTTCCACCAGGGTCTATCACCCTCCCCCTCAAATCTCCAAGCCTATACCCATCTCCCTGAATCATCACTCCTTGGGCAAGCAACTCCAGGCTCCCACCAATACCAGCCCCCCCCAAATTATCTCAAGTCAGGCAGACCTGGGTTCCAATCTCACTCTGTTGCAGCTTTGCAAGGTCCACCTCTCCAAGCCTCGGTTCCATCAGTTCAGCTCATCAGCTATTTATTGGGAGCCAAGTATGTGCCAGGAGCTGGGTGCTTAGCGTAGAACACGATAAGCTGAGCAGGATGATAGATGATTTTGTGTGATGGGGGCAGCGCAGGGCATTGTGGGTGATCAGAGGCTGCTAACCCAGCTTGGAGGTCAAGCAATGATTCTGGGTAGGCAAGGATAAGTTCTAAGCTGGAAAGGCAAGGATAAATAGGCATTAGGGAAGTGAAGGCAGAGGGATGTTCCAGGCAGAAACACAGAACATGCAAAGGGCTGGAAGTGAGTTATGGAGAGAGCTTGGCGCCTTCCAGGCATTTCAGACAAATGGTTCTGCGATGGGAGATGGGGAGGAAGAAAGGTGAGTAGGGTAAGGATGGAGGAATAGGGGAGGGAAAAGTCAGAGCTGAGAGTTCAAGGGACCCTTGAAGGTGGAGCTGGGGCAGAGCCTGTTGAACACAAGTGCAGTCCTACCTCCCAACCGTGCCCCTCCCTACTGCCACCAGGCATAATGGTGCAGGAATTTGTATACCTGGGAGCGCTGGACACGTATCTGCGCAAGTGTGGCCAGCTGGTGCCGGCCAGCTGGAAGCTACAGGTGATCAAACAGCTGGCTTATGCCCTCAACTATCTGGTGAGTGCCCCTCTGCTGCTCCACCCTCCATTCACAGAGTGTACGGGGCTTTGAGAGTGGGCTCTGTCGTGTGGACAGGAGTTTGGCAAGGGTGCAAGGGGAGGGTATTTTAGACTGAGGGAACAGCATATAAACAGGTTCAGAGGTGTAGAAGCAGAAACAGAAGGGAACAGCTTGTAATTCATGGAAATTGAGGGGAGTAGTGAGCAATGAGGCTGGCCAGGGCGGAAGGCTTTCTAGAAGAAAGAACATTACAGTTGGGACCTTGAAGATTAAGTAGAAGTTCATTAAGAGGAGAAGGAAGGAGGGCATGTCAGGCTGAGGGAAAGCCTGGGCAAAGGCTGCAGCTTAGAAGGTGTGTTGCCTGTCCTGGGGTGCACCAGGCAGGTTGCCTGGCAGGAGAACATGGTGGAGATGTGGGAGAGAGAAGCTCATGGGAAGAATGAACAAGAGCTGGATCTCAAAGGGCCTTGAGGGCTGGGCTGAGGACCTTTGACTTTATCCTGAAGGGAGTGGGGAGCCATGCGATGGGGGAGCAGTGTTTGAGAAGAGGGTGGGACACGGGGGGTGGACTGCCAATAGTCTAGGGAAGATGCTGAAGTACAGCCTGAGCAGTACCAGGTGGGCTTTGAAGGATGTTCAGGAGTTCGCCAGCCAGAATATTCATTCATCATTCTTGGCATTTTCCTATGCTTGGTCCACTTAGGAAGACAAAGGTCTCCCTCACGGCAATGTCTCAGCCCGGAAGGTGCTCCTGGCTCGGGAGGGGGCTGATGGGAACCTGCCTTTCATCAAGCTGAGTGACCCCGGTGTCAGCCCCACTGTGCTAAGCCTGGAGAGTAAGTGCTAAGGGGTGGAGGAGGGAGGGGCCTAGTGAGGCAAGGAAGCAGATCCCTGACCCCATCCTTGCCCCTCCACCAGTGCTCACTGACAGGATCCCCTGGGTGGCCCCTGAGTGTCTCCAGGAGGCCCGAACACTTGGCTTGGAAGCTGACAAGTGGGGCTTTGGTGCCACAGTCTGGGAGGTGTTCAGCGGTGTCACAATGCCCATCAGCACCCTGGATCCTGCCGAGGTCAGAGCACGAGTATTGGCCTCTAGAGCTCTCATTTGATAGAAGGGTAGACTGAAGTCCAGCTTGGGGAGGATGGGGGTGTCTGGGGGTGCCTTCTGAGGGTGCACTGGGGGTGACCAGCCCCTCCTCCTGCCCTCAGAAGCTTCAGTTTTACCAGGAACGGCAGCAACTGCCTGCACCCAAGTGGATGGAGCTGGCCCTGCTGATTCAACAGTGCATGGCCTACGAGCCAGGCCACAGGCCCTCTTTCCGCGCTGTCATCCGTGACCTGAACAGCCTCATCACTTCAGGTGCCCACTGGGCTAGGCAGGGTGGGCAGGGCCAGCATGTCATATTGGGCCCAGTAGGAGAGCGGGGTTTGCATGTAGAGCCTGCCCTGTGTGCCTGGCAAGGTTGGAATGGTTGGTGACTGTGACAGTCAGCTATAACAAACAGGCCCATCAGTTCAAGGTTGAACATGATGGATGTTTAGTTCTCATTCAATGAGGGTGTCCAGGTCAACAAGAAACTCTCTCTTTGTTGTTCCCCCCATCCCACGGCCTCAGGCCCCTGCTGGATCCTCTGCAAACAAGAGATAGAGTGTAGAAGGTCCCACCTAGGTTTCCATGGGCCGGGCCTAAGGGGGCATTCAGCATGTCTCTGTCCCCTATCAGCCTGAGCTCAGTCATTTGACCATACCCCATGGCAGTGGAGTCTGGGAAATGCCCTTCTGTCTGTGTACAGCATATGCACTGCATAAGAGGGCTGCCTTTGCCCAGGAGCACCTTTTTCCAGCTCCACAAAGTACTTCTTGGCTTGCAGAGGCCCTGCCATAATGCACAGAGAGGCTAAGCATTCAGATGGAGGTCACACAGCGAGTCAGTTAGGAGTGGGGGCTTAGGGCCCAATGCACTGCTCACTCACTGCCTGTGCCCTCCAGATTATGAGCTCCTCTCAGACCCCACACCTGGTGCCCTGGCTCCCCATGATGGGCTTTGGAATGGCGCCCAGCTCTATGCCTGCCAGGACCCTACCATCTTTGAGGAGAGACACCTCAAGTACATCTCACAGCTGGGCAAGGTGAGGAGGGTTAGGCTGGGGTGGGTGGGGTAGCACCCATGCACGTGGACACCAGCCCTGCTGTCCCCCAGGGCAACTTTGGCAGCGTGGAACTGTGCCGCTATGACCCGCTGGGCGACAACACAGGTGCCCTGGTGGCCGTGAAGCAGCTGCAGCACAGCGGGCCAGAACAGCAGAGGGACTTTCAGCGGGAGATCCAGATCCTCAAAGCCCTCCACAGTGACTTTATTGTCAAGTACCGGGGTGTCAGCTATGGCCCAGGTGAGCCACCTCCCAAGTGGATGCTCTTCAAATCACACATCCTCATCCTTCTGCAGTACCATTTTAGGGTGGTCTGAGAACGCCAGTGCGGGTGCTACTGACTGGTCTTTTTTTTTTCTTTTAATTAATTTTTATCAGAGTAGAGTTGCTTTACAATGTTGTGTTAGTTTCTGCTGTACAGCAAAGTGAATCAGCTATACATATACATATATCCCCCTGACTGGTCTTGTTTACTGATCTAGATTGCCTTGGGATCGACAATTTCCCTACCGGAAAAAATGGGTCATTATGAGGTTTAGAAGAATCAATGAATATTGTTGAAAGTACTCAGAAAGACATTAGCGATAAGCATCACTGTTGCCGTTCCCATTTTACAGAAAGCAATATCGAGGCCGGGAGGGACACGAGGTCCCACTCTGAACCGGGAAGGAGAATGGGGAAGGGGAGTAGACAAAGTTAGGCCCTGTGGTGACTCCTCCCTGCCTCCCCCACCTCCCCTAGGCCGCCTGAGCCTGCGGCTGGTCATGGAGTACCTGCCCAGCGGCTGCCTGCGCGACTTCCTGCAGCGGCACCGCGCGCGCCTTGACGCTGGCCGCCTGCTCCTCTACGCCTCGCAAATCTGCAAGGTGCGGGTCGGAAGAGGGCGGGGCGCCCGTCAGACCTGCGGGAACTGACCTGGCTCGACCTGGGCAAGGTCTCCGTGGATTCGCCAGGAAGGCTGAGGGTTGAAGTTTGGGGTCCAGGTCAGGCTGGAAGTGGGGTTGAGTTAGGGCTAAGGTCAGGACTGGAGTGCAGGATGGGTCAGAGGTAGGGTTAGGCTCGGGGTCTGGGTTGGGGCTGGTGTTGGATTCCATGTCAGACTTGGGCCCCTGCGGAGTCATCCTGGGGTCCATATTCCATGCCCTCCCACAGGGCATGGAGTACCTGGGCTCCCGCCGCTGCGTGCACCGCGACCTGGCAGCCCGTAACATCCTGGTGGAGAGCGAGACGCATGTCAAAATCGCTGACTTCGGCCTCGCCAAGCTGCTGCCGCTCGACAAAGACTACTACGTGGTCCGCGAGCCAGGCCAGAGCCCCATCTTCTGGTAGAGAGCTCGCCCCTGCCCCACCCTTCCTCCCCCCTACCCAGGCCCCCCCCCTGCTCCCCCCTTCCGGGCCCCGCCCCC